TCAGAAGGACTCCACCAGGAAAGCTGTGTGTCTGTGGGTTCTGCACCCAGGCCCCTGGAACTCACAATGAGGCTTCCCAGCCACAATCTGTGATGGTACCTGCCACATCACGGAGATTATGGCGTCTCTCACCAGAGCCAGTTCTGTAGGCCCATCCAAAAGCAATGCTTGAGTTAATTAGAAAAAATGAATTTCTCTTTCTGATTAACTTCCTTTCTACTTTTCCAGGAAGAATTTAATAGCTCTATCTCATCTTGCGTAGTGTATCTCCTTATATATAAAATGCTATTTTGGAACATTTTCTGAGTCTAACCAGACAGCCAACATGGTGACCAATAATTAATAATTCAGGCCGTAAATTTCAGTGGAAATTTGTCAGGAATTCGATTCCTACATAGTGGCAGGGTCTAAAGGAGAGACTTCTCTATAATCCTCTTAATGTGGGGATTAACTACATTTCTCTCTCCTTTTGTTTTTTCTCCCAAGTCAAGTTGCAGTTGTAAATACCAGGTTTCTCCTGGAACTGTGGGTGCAGGGAAATGTGCGAGGTGTAGATACAGACTCTGCCTGACCCAGAAATGTCTCAGTACATCATATGACATCCAATAGCTCAGCTCTGCAAGAATAGTGCACAATACTGTCTGCCTTCAGAAGCTGTGGACACAGCCTAGAATATTTCCTTTATAGAAGAAGAAAAGCATAATTGTATCTATGTAAGCTATGCCAACTCACAGTGAACAGTAACTACTTGTTTGGAGAACTAAACAATTATTTTAAGACGGAGTTCCTGTCCATGTGCAAACATGCACACATATAATTATAAACAGACCAAAGTATATTTTGGAAATTCTGCACTTTTCTTCTGACAAAATTATATCTATCATCTCAAATGCATGAGTATCTATCAGGGACTTGTTTCTTTTTCCAAGGTCCTTTTGTGGTTTAGTTAGAATCAAATTTGAGGTAAAAGATATATACTTTGTAGTATAGGTATATTTAGGAGATATTTAGGGCATAGTTCTGTCAAAAATGTGTGTCCCTATTTTAGCGAAGGTGACCATGTATCCAGACTTGTACCTGTTGTAGTTCCTGCGTGCATGCGTGTGTGTGTGTGTGTGTGTGTGTGTTGGGTGAGATTATCAATAATCTAACATTTCCAATCTATAAATTTGCTATGAAAAAATTTTAATGAAACATAGACATGAGTCCATATTTATTATTACCCAGCCTGAAGACACTAGTATGCTTGCTAACTACACAGTGAGAGAGAACAGTAAGTGCTGAGTGATAGCCCAGAACCTGATAAAGTATGTTTTCCTTGTTCTTTAAGAATGTTCATATTAGCAGTGAGCATTCACAGATTCTGTATTCTGTGCCTGTGTGTGTGACCACCTGTGAAGTAGGATGATTAAAAAATTCAGCATTAAAGATGAAGAGAAGGAAATAAGTGAATGATTAATGGAAAATCATTAATCTTTTGGAACTCAGTCCTGCAACAACTGATACACACAGTAGACCTTTGAATATGTGCTTAGGAATTGAGGTCTTACTTTGCTCTAATCTATGGAATCCCCATCCACCAATTTCATTACTAATGTGCTATTTGTTTTTATTTCCTTGTACCATAAGTCTGATGTAGTTAATCAGTTTCATTGGGATTTCTGACCTCCACTTTCCTTCCAGTTCCAGTCATTAGAAATCATCTCTTATCCTCGGTTTGGTTCAGAGAATAACTTCTTATAGGTTGTTCCTATCAGGCTTATCATGGAGTCATAAGCTGGTGTTTGGTTTGATCCTAGGGTCTCAGTTGGTAATGACTTTCATAATATCCCTGTAGAGAAAGAAGGTTAAGCAAAGGAGGTGTTTGCTTCTGAGTTATGACTCTGTGTCTAGGAGGATATGGTACAGCTGTGACTCGGCATCAGAACTTCCTCACACCTGTGTTGGCCCTTATAAAAGTACTTTGCAGGTTAGGATAAATAGAATAGGGAAGAAGGAATAAAGAATAAGGAAAGAGTTTGTTTCTAGAACCTACTGTGCTTTCAGACCCTGTGTCTAAGAAGAGCCCTTTCTTCTGGAGTTATTGCCACACACCAACCTCAGGAAAGAAGATGGAAATACAATATCTTTGAGCAAAGGAGTTAACAGAAAGGTCTCTCAGGTTCATAAGCTCCACCTCATTGGCTCCATATGCGTTCTTAAGCACCATCCATCAATTTCAGTCCCCAGTACCCTTCTTTTTGGGACAGGAAGTAAGAGAACAAATAGGAAGGAATGTAAATGGACCCACAACAAGAAAATTGAAGGACTTCTGAGCATTTAAAGTCCTTATTCCAAACCATAGGCCTGTTATGTAAAGCTGTTTATAGAAAATGTACGCTGTATCAGGAGGTGTTGCAGTCACACTCGCTTTGGGATTTTTCAGGTCTCCAGCAACACCCGTCAGCTGAGGGCTACGAAAGCCCCTTCAGGCTCTGACTCCTCCCTTAGCTCCAGAGAAGTTCCCTGTCACTGTGTCCAACAAATATAAAATATACTGAAAGCTTTCTGTCTTGCTGGACACTTGTGTTAGTGATTCCATTCAATTGTCTGGATTGTTAATGGATTCCTGATGCTTTCCTTGGTAAATTCCCATGCATCATAAAAACCTTTAAATAGTCTTTCCCTAAGTTCTTCTCTCCAGTGGAATGAAATATGAAGAAGACCAAAAAGCCACTTGTTTTACCATGCATCCAAGTTAATACTGAAAAACAACAAGGTCAAAGAAATAAGAAATCTCTAGATGTAAAAAGGAAAATAAGTATGAATAATAGAAAAATGAAATTTTTTTCCTTGGAAGAAGGGAGTAGCCATCCTGTGAACCTTCAGTACTGTCACAATGATTGAATGAGCAATTTGAGTCCATGAATTTTGTGAAAGTATAAATGACTTGAGAAACTCCTTGTGGCTGTGGTGGTCACTGCCTGTCTATACCAGTGAAACACTAGGACAGTGAAGTCAGCACAGTTGTAATCTCTAAGTGCTGAGAAACTCCAGGAAGCTTTGACTTTAGATACTGCTTTTTGTCGCTAAATGTAGAATATAATAGATTCCAGTCAAAGAAATGCTTAAGTCAGAATCCCGAAGAGTACCCAGGAAGATGAGAACTGATGTGAAAGGTTTTACTATATATATAAGGGCTATAAAATTATCTTGAATGTTGACCAGGTTGTTTAAAAAATAGAAATATTCAGCAAATACCTTTACAGTGCACATCAAGTATATTGAAAATGGTATATAAAGTTTATAAATGGACTATAAAATTTCAGATGATATATAATGCTATGGCAGAATTACTGACCATATAAATGTCTTTATGCGAAATACAGATCTGAATTTTTGAAATAAATACTAGGCTCCTTGGCTTTCCATTAAAGAAAGCATGCTCTGCTTGTCTATCAGGTCAGTGGCAAGCTGGTAGGACACCAGTGATTCATTTGTTTTAGCATCATGATTAGCACCTTATTTCTCCAATCCCATCCTCAAGTAACCAACTCTTAGGTCCAGTTTCAAACCTCAGTAAGCTTTGAGCTCCAGGTGAGATGGGCATAGTACCATGCCCTGAGTGGGTTCTGATTCAGGCAGCTCAGCTTCTTTATGCCCTCCCTCTAGCATCTGAAAGAAGTGTCCATCCACTGAGGAAGTCTAGACTTCCTCACTCATGAAGCAGCACAACTGGGAAAAGAATCCAGTGAGGTTGCACGTGTCATTTGTGGACCTCAGAGCCAGTTTGTAGCACAGCTTCTATAAATATGCATTGCTTTCTTACTTGTACAAACTTGAAATAGGAAGCTAAATTATGGAAGAATAGGTAGATGCTCTGAGGGTGATTCCTGAACACCTCTAACCTCTTCTGCTTGAATGGTACTGTGGTACCAGCCAACAAGCAGCAAAGGAAGAGAGGACAGAGCTGGCATGTGGGAAACATGCTGACCACAGTTGTAGTCATGGACAGGAAAGAGAATGCTCAAAGACCTGCAGGGCATGTGTCAGAAGGGACATCCTGTCTTGATGTCATTTTAAGAGACCCAAACAAGTACTGATTTAGGACTCTCATTTTGCCTTTCTGTGCAGTGTGAATACCTTGATGGCTGTGACCTATTTATATTTTTAACCTTTTGTCTTGCTTACTTTTATCTCATTGCTGAGACAAAATACTTAATGTCCAAAATGAAAGGTGGAAAGGTATATTTAGCTCCTTGTTTGTGGAAGTTTTAGTCCATAATCAGCTGGTTCCAAGCCAGAGTGGCTCATGGCAAGGGACAACTGTTCATGGCAGTTCATGGAAAATAGCACAAGCAACAAGAGCAAAAGGTGAGGAGCATGGAGAGAAGCCACTCTTGTCCCTTATGTTGTAGGCCATACCCACTCAGGGCATGGTACTATGCCCATCTCATAATCCCAGCATTGGACCATGAGTCACTCACAAATGCTAGAAGTCCACCTCCATGACTGCTCAAGGCTTTGGGGAGACACCCAGACTCAAACCATAGCACTTGATTTCTAAGATCAAAAGAGGTGGATTACAATGATGAATTCAGAATTTTAATTCTAGGTATACTTTTGCATGAATTCATTGATCACATTAAAATTCTTCAAAATCATAAACAAATGGCTTTTTTTTTTAAAACAGAGAAATGCTTCTCTATTTGAGGTAGAACAAAGGAGACAATTGCGGAACATGTTGATAATTAGGGCATGAGAGATTTTGACATTGGAAAGAGTGACGTTGTGACACCCTCCATCCTACTTTATAGAAATCAGCTCACTAGCTGAAGGTGTGATTCTGCTGCTGAAAAGCCAAAGACAATTCTTTTTTCTTAAAGAATCAACATTTATTAATACAATTTAATAAGTGCTGCAGTAGCCACTTTATGTGATGTTTTAAACATTACAATAAATTCCAGTAGGGTTTCCAAATACCGAAGCAAGTATCATAGATTTTTTATGGTAATGGTGAGAGAGGGAGAAGAAACCAACAAAAATTATGCAGTTTAATAAGTTTCAATTTTGATAAGAAAGAATAAAATTAATCAAAACACTGGCTTGATTTTATTGTTTTATCCTTTTTAAAATAAAAAATATACAAAGTGACCCGTCTTGTTGCCTTGCTTCTTTTTTTTTTTTTTTTTTTTTTTAATCAAACTTCAGATTTAGTAAACCGCGTCACAGCCTGTGTTTCTCCAGATAGGCCTGTCACTCACAGAGAGGGTGGGCGTGGCCGTGGGGTGTGACGTTGGTACTTCCTCTTTGCCAGCCCCTGTGCTGTGCCGGAAGGAGGTGGGATCTGTCCGGTCCAGTCCTGCGGTGGCCTGTGCATAGATGTGTCACTTTATGTAACTCAGGTCAATCATTGGCAAACATCTCTAAGTCCCTGTCAATTTTTACAACAAAAATGCTCTCAGCCAGTATTTTCTTACTTCTTCAGCTTATTATACATCTTCTTTTATCACCTTATAGCATTTTAAAAATTCCCTTTTCTTTCGAACAAGATGCCTCTGAGGATTTGTTGGAAGAAATTCTCAGCCTCTGAAATGGGCTCCGGTCTGAAATCCCTTTACCTCCCTTCTTCTGACTATCCAATGCTCTTAGCAAATACTGATTATAAATGTCATTAGCATTAGTGACTCACCTTTGGGTTCTGAGGCTGAAGAAATGGATCATTAACTCATTTTAAAAAATTCCCAAAAAGGTTGGTTCTACCCACTTGTCCTTCATTTAATTGCCAACCTGTAAAAGGGAAGAAACAGATATCATACTAAATGACATTTTGGACCAGAATAAAAGAATTGGGCTGCTGGTGGAGCATATGGAAAAGAATGATTAATCTCTTGAATTTGATAGTCAAAACATTTTGACACCAAGTGGTAGTTTTAATGATCACTATAATTTAGCTGATGGGTTCATTAATAAAACTCCAAGACTACTTTATAACATTTAACTCTGATCATTACAGTTAAGGTTACAGAGAACACAAAAACCATTCCTTCCAACCCGTGTGGCATGCTGTCAAAATCAGAGCAGGGTATTGTGCATAATTATTTCTACTGAACAGGTAATCAGGGACCTTATCTTATTTCCTAGTAGTCCTTGGCCTTATTCTCCAGGCAAAATCCCCCACAGCTCTCTCTCAAAATCACTTTCCTTCCAAGCACTTTCTCTATACATTGTTTGGAAAGAAAAAAATGTATTATCTAATTAACCATGTATAGTAATCTTTTAAACCCTATTAGAGAAATGGAGAATCAATAGTGTCAATTTTGGGGCCGTAAGGTGATCAATTGTTTGGGGAGTTAAGTTGAAGAAGCTTTGAGGCTTAAGAGGTTATGACTGAGTTTGTCTCTTGTAATGATTAATCTGTCTCATTAAGTCTCTGGTGATGTTACCTGACTTCTGAAGTCTTTTTTAGGAGATAATGCTCACATAATCTCTGTGTCAGGCTTCTTTATTTTGTCATCCTGCTTCTTGAACTGGACATTGCCATTTTGGATCCAAGATTAAAGCTGCATGTAACGGCAATGAGACAGGACGATGTACATTCCCTGACCCTGTGAGGTGCCATTCAGCTGAGGATTGCCTGGATGGAGTTGAATAAAAGAAAGAGATAGTCCTAAAATTGCTTATACTGCAACTCACAAAAAGATCTAATATTAACTCCTATCAAAACACATAGGGACCAATGCCAAAGCTGGGATTAATAACCCTTTTTTCTATTTGACACATTATCAGTAACACCAGGATCCATGTTAGGTACTTACATTTGACTTTTTACGTATATCCTGTTCACGGCTTCCTGTCCTCTTCTGTGTGCTTCAATCTCTGTTCAAATGGGAAGACAGATTTGCATCCTTCTAGAGCAGCTTCTGTTATAACACACACGCAGACAACCTCTTCTTCCACCGCACCCAACAACTATTTAGTCACTGCACCATTTCTCCAGCTCTTTTGCTATCCCTTGAGATGACCAAGCTGAGTGATACTGGGACAACAGAGTAACAGGCAGAAGATTGGCTGGCTCTGCCTAGCCGTCTCTGGAGGCAGCATCAAGGCTTTCACTGAGATATTAGTTAAGTTGAGCTATAATACTTATGCAGAGAAACCAGACTATTTTGGGCAGAATGGTTTGCAGGACTAAGAACTGGTGGCATGCTTTGAAAATGAAGAAGTTCACTATGTGGAGTAGTAGGGGGAGAGAAATGACTATGTGTCTTATCCCTAAGGACCTTCTGTGCCTTGCTGAGGTCCTTCAGTGCATATTTGGAACACTATTGGGGATGTTTATATGTGGAATGATGTGATAATTTTTATGTTAAGAATAGCTGATGAAAGAGGATAAAATAAGAAGAGAAAAGATTGGAGTGTCACTGGGGTATTTCTTCTATGTAAGTGGAGATGGAGATAAGAGACCATTTCCAAGATTTTTTGAGAGCTTTAGTACTTTGTATGGATGAAACAGAAGGGATAGAGTGATTTGGGCAGGAGAAAGAATTTTTGGAATTCTCAGCATATAAGTAAAAGTCCAAGATCCTCAAATGCTTCTGGGAAAGTATGGATTAAAAGGATATAAGATTGAGACAAAAGTCCAGGATACAGGCAGAGGAAAAATAGAATCTTTAAAGGTGTTTTGGAGAGGGGTAGCAGTGAAAATCAGGATAGTTAGGAAAACAAGTTCTGTTCATGATTTAGACCTTAAATGTGTTCATGATTTTATCTTCAGTCTCTAACTGAATAGAGCTCAATACTTAACACACTGCAGTTGCTTATTAAATATGTACTGAATAATGAAGGGCCAATTTAGACAGTATTCAGGCTAAAATGGACTCAGAGTTAAATTTTTGGGAAAGATTTTGCCAAGCAAAGCCCAATCTTAATGAAAAGAGATAACAGTTTTACGTCTGTGTCCCATTGTCTTATGAAAGGGTGCTTCAGTTGCATCTGAGGAGTCCACGTAGAGAATGCTATTTTCAGAACATTTTATTTGTTGAAATATGCACCCTACTGCATAATTCAGTAACCATGTTCAAAGCACCTTCAGGGACAGAATGTCTGGCTGCTCCTGGAAGGGGGAATCCTGGATGAATGGATGAAAATGTAGCATGTTTAATCTATGAAATTCTTTTGTGGCAGTGAAAAATTGCAAACATAAAAAAATCAGACAAATCTAAAATATTATATCTGAGTGAAGAGAGTACAGAATTTCATTTTGCAAGGAAAGAGCTCTACCAGTGAGCCACATCCCCAGCCCAGAGAATTTCATCTTGAAGAAGCAGCTTTATGCTCTGGGGTGTAGGATTATAACTCTGAGCAAACATCAGTGCCAAGAGCAGGGCAAACTTGAATAAAGGAAATGTTAATAAGAACACATGTAAGGAGACCGCACATACCAAAAAAACAATTCAGGGCTGTAAATATCAGATTTATTTTTACTCGAATCTTTGCTAGAACTCTCATTCTAGGCCAACAACATATAAAACAATAGTTGAACACTTTCAAGGTTTTATAAAGGCTTACAAGTTAAATTGCTAGGCATGGAATGTAGAATACTTTTATTTAGTTTTTAATTTCTCCTTTCTAGGTGGTCCTCAGATCCAGAGGGTTTCAGAGTAAACAAAACAAGGAATTGTTATTAAAGTTACAGAGGTTTTTACTTCCATGCAGGTTTATTTCCATTTAGATTTTATTAAGCATGTAGAGACAACCAATGTTCAACCTGACCTTAATTTATAGTTATGTTTATAAAAATAATACAATTTCAAAGTAATTTTTTTAGAAAGTCTATTATGTTTCTAGCATCACATGCCACTCCCCAGTCCTAGCTGGTTATTGTCGAATTTCCCCTTTCTCACAATCACCAGCTGCCTGAGTGTCAAAGACTTCACCTGCATGTTGAGGAGCCCTGTAAATGCCACTCCAATTAGGAACTATGAGAAGGCTAACTTCATGTGTCTGAAGGTACCCAGATATTTGCTTAACTGTTAGTCTGATCACACCTATGACCTTGTTTTTAGGTATGTTTGAATCAGTAGATTCAGTAAAGCAGACTGTTTTGCAGTGACATTTACTCAGTGGGTTTACAGTTTAGGGTATAAACAGAGCAAAAAGGCCCAAGCAATGGAGACTTTCCTGCTGCTTTCTGACTGATTTTGAGTTGAGACGTCAGTCTTCCCCGGCCATCAGATTTAATCCCAGACTGGGTCTTAGACCATTGGTTTTCCTGATTCTCAAATCCTTGGACTTGGATTAAAACCCATATGAGAAGGTGGCTTTGGAACTGGGTAATATATAGCAGCCAGAAATATTTTTTAGGTTCATATTAGACATATGGATGTTAAAAACAATTCTGGTGAGATCTCAACTGGAAATAAGAAGCAGATTGTTGGAAACTGGAGGAAGGGCAATCCTCCTTACATAGCTTCAGAGAATATCACTGAGTTGTGTTTTGATGTTTTATGCAAGTAGAATTTATAAATACTAAAACTGGATATTTATTTCAGGAGCTTTCTAAGGACAGTGAAATTTCCTCCTGAATGCTCACATTAAAATGCAAAAGAAGAAAGAATTGAAGAAGAATTCTAAGCAAAAAAGAATTAGAAATTGAAGATTTGGAAAACTCTCAGTCTGTTTCATAAAATGGCAAAAGTGTTGTTACCTTTGGAGATTATTCTAAGAGAGTACCCAGGATATCACAGAACGGTCATTTGATAAGAGACCAAGGGTGGGATTCATGGATGTAATAGCTATTTTAATTAAAGACAGGACAGAAGTTGCACTGAACTAACAAGAAAACCATCCATGTGAGCTAAAGCAGTGAGGAAAGGCTGGGATGAAATGGAAGATGGCAGAGATCTCCTTGGATTTGAGCAGCCTGGAGCCATTTGGCAGTGAATGTGTCCTATGCTTTAAGAACAGGGAAAAATGAAAGTATTGAGATAATCAGGGCCACCACCTGGGTTTTGTCAGGGCAGATGGCTTTTATCTCAAAACTTGGAGTCTGGAGTACAACAGGAAGTCACAGAGGCAGAACTGTCACCTCAGTGGTTCCCGAAAGCAGAAGGTTGATCCAGTGAGGTTCACATCAGGTCTGGTGGAATTAATCTTGCCTGGTTGGGGCCTCCTTGAGACTGTTCGTTTGTTTCTCCCTTTTTCTCCCCTTTGGATTGCGAACTGCTCTCCTATGCCTGCCCTACCATTGTGTTTTGGAAACATGTAACTAGTTCAATTTTACGGGCTCATGCTGAAGAGCAATTTTGCCTGATGATGCCTCATATCTGAGGTCGTAACTGTATCTTATTTAGATGATATTTATTTAGAAAAGACCTTAATCCTTAGACTTTAGAGGTGAAGCTGGAATGAGTTAAGACTTCTGAGGCTGTTGGGCTGTATTTTGCTGCACGAAGGACTTGAATTTTGTGATGTCTGGGCAAAATGCTGCAGATCTAAGTGTGTTCGTCTCACCTGAGCAAAGTGTGGTCATGTTGGAAGGGTGACTTTGGGAGATGACTTAGGTGAGGTCATGAGGGTGTGGCCTTGTAATGCTGTTAGTGCCCTTCTGTGAGAAAAAGCCATGAGCTTGGTCTCTCTCCGCCATGTGAAGATCCAATATGATGCTGGCTTCCCAAACTAGGGAGAGAGAGAGTTTAAGAGTTGCGCTCACTGATGCTGGGCTTCTCAGCCTTTTGAAGAGTGACATGAAATCCCACTTTTTTTTTTGCTTCAATAGTATTTTTTTTTAAATGGCAACTTGAGCAGACAAATATAGGGCAGGAAATTTTTAGGTCACTGGCAAAAGTATGCCAGTTGGAGTTTCTATCCTCAGATGGAAGTAACACAGAACCAGGGATGCCTTCTACACAGGTGTGACCAGAATACATAGTAAACTCTAAATAAAATATTTTGTTACTTTAAGACCTGTTGCTGTTAATCCCACTCAAAATATTCCTCTTGGTTTAAGCACGCTTATCGCATTGTTCTTGCCACTTTTGGCAGCAATTCTGGAAGCCCTTTCATGAGTGTCTTCACAAGATGTGATTAAAAAATACGGTGAATTTTGTGCTCAGAGCTGTCCAACAGAAAGCCAGGTTCTTCAAAGCAGGGCAATGGGTCCTTGTCCACCTTATTCACCGGAGCTGGCACTGCATGACTTCTGGCTCTTCCCCAAGAACAAAATGACCATGAAAAGGAAATGTTTTGAGTTTATTCGGGACATACAGGCAGGCACAGAAGATGTGAATCAGGACTTCCAGAAGTGCTATGGACAGTTGTAAGAGTGATGAGATGTGTGTTTGTAGTGGTAGAGATGTATTTTTAGGGAGGCGAACAGCAGTGTGTCTTTTACTGCACTTAATAATCAAAACTCACTGTATCTTTGATCACTTCATACATACTCATTTGATATCTCGAGGACTCCCTCCTGCTGCCCAGTCAGAGTGATGGGCACCCTCTCCATGGAGACACATCTTTTGCAAGGCACTCAAGCCCCTCCTCTGCTCCCTGCTTTGCAGGAAGGACCGGTCCTGTGTGGTCTCCTGTCTCCCTCTCCTCTCTTTCATAGCCCAGGAGACCTGTATTCTCTCTACACCTGGGTTTTGAACTACTCTTTATTCAAGTGTTTTACAAGCCCTGTGCTCTGCTCCCTTCAATCACTCTTTCTATATTAACTACTTCTCTCTCTTTTCATCCGCACTCTAAAAATCTGATTGCTCTTGGAGGCAATATGGATGCCTACACTTCCAGGTGAGGAGTGGAAAAATCTCACGTAGAGAATACACAAATATTATTTCACGATACCTCACTGCAAATGATAACATCAATGCTAGAGCTATTTTATACATAGATGAACCTTCCCAGGGAGTTTAGACCTGCAGTCTGCATATGGTACACTCTCTTTCTCTCCATCTATATTGCTATCTGTACGTATCTATATCTATCTGTTAGAAGCCTCAG